CATAATGCCAGTGCCCGGTATGCCATTCGCATTCCATTTCGGCAGAGAATTCTACGTGTTCAATGGACTCTTATGGTGTTGAAATGAATTGAATTTCAATTGAATGGTGCCAATTGATATGCACCATCGAAATGCAATTCAATTATAAACAGGACATTTTTGAGAGAGAGAAAACCATAGTTCAGTGTTCTTGTTGGAATAGTTTGCAAAATGCAATTAATTTTAAACACCACAATGCAGTACAACAAAAAAGCCATACGATATGCGGGTGCTTTTCACTTTGTGCACAGTGCTAATGTGTATGCATTTTAAATTAATAACTCGAAGTGGCTCATCCAAGCGTGGTTGATATCGAAGGTGAAATGTATGCACAGAGACAAGAGAGCATAGAAAAGTGTGATGTGTGAAAGAAATGAATGGTTGTTAATCATCAACGGCAGCAGTAGAGCAGGAAAATGTGTGTATTATACACCCAATACCGTAAACCGTTTACACATCAATCAACACTCCACCATCTCGCACAATACGTTAAGCATGACGAAAACAAATTGTCTGGCTCACAAATATTCTGGAGCAAAAAATGAGAATTAACTGAAGATGATGAAGAAGAAGAAGAAGAATAAAACGTCATCAGGCTTTCCAAATGACTGGAATAAAATCACCATTAAACGCTAGACAAACAATTCCAATGCAAACAATGCCCATAAAAATGAGATAAGTATAGACATATATGTGTGGTGGAGAGAGAGTGGGGGGACAGCGAGAGAGTTTAAGGCAAAATTCATTAACAGCCTTTCGAAGAGCCATCACGTTGAATCTGTCGCCCGGAAGACGATATTGGATCTGGGTGGCATTTTGCAGTTATGAGAGCATTCATTGTAGTTCGTGAATCGTAATTTCTTTTTATTATTATATGGTCTTTAAATGGTCTCTCTTTTGTGTTCACGCTCTTAAGTGAGTGCGCGCATCCGTGCATTTTTCACATTCGATGCACGCGCTTGAACATTTCACACATTTAACAGCGTTCTCTCTCTCTCTCTCTCTCTCTCTCTCTCTCTCTCAAGCCAAACTAAGTACAACATCAAAGGCATAATGCACACACAACACCTACACGTATACTTCCGTTCTTTTTCTTCCCATTTTTTTTTCAGTTGCTGCTGCTGTTGTTGTTCCGCCGATTCTCTCTCCATCTCATACATGAGCATAAGCACAACCGGCGACTGAACAACAGCAGAAATTATTATGCTAAAGAGCACCGACTATTTAATGAATAACACTCGAAAAGAAAAGCACATATTCGTTTAATCGTTTGATTAAATTTTACTTTTTATGCTCTTTTGTGTTTGTGTGTGTGTGTGTGTGTGTGTGTTTGGCTGGTGTGGTTCCATGTCAGCGCTTTGTACCTCATTAGAATCGTGCATTGCACAGCAAATGACGTGATCTGGCCGACGTGGGTAATGAAAATGAAATCAAAACGTACACCATCATCGCCGTGTATTGGTGACCGGGGTAATTTTGCCCACGGCATCACAAAACGTTTTCAACCGCATCATTTTCAAAGGAAATATTCACCCTTTTAAGAGTCACGTAACATTCACTTGTTAAGGACTTCCATTTAAACCGAATCATGGTTATTTAGAAGCTGGCCAGAACTTCATTTTGAACGAAATTAAAAGCATTTTTCGAATCAAAGTGAATCGATTCACTTCTTATAGACTTAGGGAAGGGAATATAAACTCAAATGACTCGATTTTGTTCGAATATTGTGAAAATCGAGATGATGAGTAGACTCAGTATGAAAAATTAACTTGTTTCTGTTCAAAAATTGCAAATTTGGTGAATTTCCATTGAAATTTGCATTAAACTGATAAAAATCTCCCCGAAATTGAGGGTGTAAAATATTGAATTGCCAATGGCACTGCAAATTTGACCCGAAATTAATCATTTTCGGCCATGTTTAAGCTAAAAGTTTCAAATAAAATATTATTTTGCTTTGAGCCACAGCATAACAACCATAAGTATAAAGTAAATCGGCTGAGTCAGACGCTTTTTTTTGCTCATCTGATGATTTGTATGGCGTGAAAATGACATCTTAAACGGTAAACCGCAGCTCATTTTGAAAGGTTCACCATTTGGAATTTCAAAAATGGTCCATACCAAAGGCGCGTTCCATTTGATATTTGAAAGCATCGAATCGACGGCGTCGATTTTTCTCCGTTTTTCAGCAGAAGATTTATTCCGACAGAAAAAAATCTATTTTCGCCATTGAAAATGTGACAAAGTCGTTAGCCTAAGTAAAAAATACCAGTGTGCCCAAGTGGAGTGAGTGAATGCGATTGAATCAATGCTATAAGCCGCTTGTTCGTCTAGACATTGTGTGTAAGTTTAAATAACTTGCGTAAATTGCGTATTCAAAGTGCGTTTACCGTGTTATTTCAAGTTCAATTTTGGCGCATAAAAAAAGCGACCAAGTCAAAATACGATTGCAATGTGCCTAAGAAGCATTAGTGACAATAAACATTAGCAAATAATAATAAAACTTGAGCTTATGCACGCTCGAGAATAAAAAGAGGAATAAACACATGAGCGAGAAAGAGAGACAGAGACACTCAGTCAGAGAGAGAGAGAGATAGAAACGGAATGCCATGACTTACTGCAAATTGAGTGTGAGTAATTTGAGCCAGTGTCGTCAATGTTTGCAATTTGCACATTTCGATTGGGGAGCAATAAGTCATTTTCGCACGGCAAAATTAATTCATTTGAATCGTTTCTAATGTGTTGTTAGCAATGAAGCCATCGATTTTGGTTGATTTTTTTTCCATCGCGTTGCTAATTTTTTTCGCTTTAGAATGTTGGCATTCATCGCTGAAATATGATACATTTGCTTCACACAGATCGTTCGTCGCTTGGTTGGGAAAAAAAAAATTAATTGAAAAAACAAGAACTAACGACACATGTGCATTTGGGTAAGGCCAACTAACTAACATTTTGAATATTTTCCATATTTCAAGCGCCGAACATCTCTCTCATGGGAATTGAGAAAAAAATATAATCCACTGAGTCCATGGCAAGCGAAAAAAAGAAACAACAAAGAAGGTGGACGTAATCGTGTTGTTTTACCTCCCGTTCGTTCTTTTCCTTTTTTTTGATCGCAAATTTCCAGTAATTAAAATTAGACAGATTAAAAACATGATACAACGAACCGAATGAGTCAGAGGGCAAACTATAGCCCACGAAACACGATATCGATAACGAAGAAGTCGCGCGTGAGCGAACCCATACTAGTGCATCGTCGGAATCAATTTAACAGCGCACATTTTTTTACTATCGCAACCAAGAGCCAATAAAAAAAAAACAACAAAAGACTCAATCGCGCTTCTACATTTTCAAGCCCACAATAACGGAATAAACAAACCTATTTATTTATTATTCGCTTCGGCCAGACAAGAGAGACAGCGAGTCTTAAGCGAAAATTGGCCCAAACGAAAGAGTAGAAAAAACAATTGCGTCCGTAATTGATATTGGCATAATCTACGTAGAATCGATTACTTAATGACGGAGCTTCACTCTCAAAGTTTTTTTTTTTCGTTTTAATATTGGTTCGGTTCCGACTATTCCTGTGCATTTTCTCTGGCTCTCTCTCTCTCTCTCTCTCTCTCTCTCTCTCTCTCTCTCGTTTTTTTTTTACAATGATGATGTTATAGTAAGCCGTTACGGATAATCTCAAATTGAATTATTCGTGAATATTTCGCTATGGAGATATTGATTTTATATCTGATTAATGGGGAATTTCGGGCACAAGAAAGTTTACTCATTGAGTACTACCCAATCCCAGTTAAAATTCGAGAAAAAGAAGGAGAACAAAAAAACGAGACGGAGATGTCGTCTCACAGAGCAATCCAAGTGCAACTGCAAGCATTCAAGCGGAAAATTCATGTTCGGTGGCTCTTTTTCGGCGATGATTCTCTTGTATTTGCCGAAGTTTAAAGGGCATCCATTACCAACTCATACACATTGTTGTTTGAATTTAAACGAAGACACTTTTTTCGATCTGGTTTTTATTTTGTTGACTCGGAAATTTGTTTCTGCTTCGTAGCTCTGGATTTTACAGAAGGACAACTCTTGTTGTTTTGCTGGATTTTGGTAGTAATCTCCCCGAAAAAAAAAAAATTGGGGATATGCATACATGCTTATCGAATGTCTGCCTGCATTGCAACCAGTGATGGGCAAGTTTACGGTTTATGTTTGTGAAATCGATGGCTATGAAATTTGGAATTGACCTTGATTCTGGATGATGCATCTTCATTTTAGACAAAATTGAACTTGATTGAATTTGAACCGAACTGAAGGTTCAATTTCTTTAACAATTCTGATGAAAACGTTGGTTTCGATTCGAAACTTTTGAATGAAGCGTCTACTTAGAACTTGGCATCAAACGGATACAATTGTGCCTTGCAAAGCCGGACGGAATTGACCCTTGAATTGCAAAAAGATCAATGGATCCTTCTTTTTCTCACTCTCGGTTTGCCATCGAAAAGTCAATTTTCAAGCCTCGTTCTAATCTTCAAATGAACAATAAACCTCAAAAAAGTTTCTAATTCAAAAGCTTAATTTCGCCTCGATTCGTTCTCTCCGCTGTGTCCCATGTTTGGCTGCAACGGTATGGAAACGAAGCGAAAAGAGTAAGAAAGACCGAGAAAAAAAAGAATAACGCCATGTCGTCGACATCTCAAATTACATGTGATCGTCACATTTTACGCTTTATTCGCTTTTATTTATACCACAATTGTTTATAGTTGACTGTGTCTATTCCAGTTGTAGCACAAGGCGTTTGGAATTTGTGTTGTTGTTTTTTTTTGCTGTTGCTGCTTTGGTGTTGTTAGTTTTTTTCTTCTCTTTCTCTTTGCACACATCGGTTCGTTCATTCTTGTATTACGTTTTTTTTATGGTTATTTCACGTAAAAAAAAGAAGAAAGAGTCTACATAATCAGTATACTTACACACAATGACACCAAGGGAAGCACACGCATACAGAATATATCTAGTTGAGCCCGGTTGGATGGTGTATTTTGTTGTATTGTGAAAAATCAGCAGAAAATCCAAAAGCTGTAACGAAAGAAAGAGAAGAATATCGTTTATAAATGCACAGCGACAAACCAGTTTTTATTCTCAACGGAAAAATAAAACGTTCGAATCGAAATTGATGAAGACATCGACATCGGCATCGTGAATTAAAGCCCAATACGAAAATAAATGCGAATCCATAAAGAGATGGAGAGAGAGAGTGACAATGATTGCTAGCGAGAGAGAGAGAGAGAGTGAGAGATAGACCTGATTGCAAAGTACAATGTGCGTGCCTTGTGTGTACCGGGTTCCATGTGTTTCCGTGTTTCGTGGACATTCATTCATCGGTGTTTGTTTCAAAAATGGTTTCGTTCGCCTCCCCATTTGCAGCCCGTTGACATCGTAAAGTGACACCAAACATAATCCACACGAAGCGTTATGGACAAATGGCCGTTTGTATTCAAATTGCGCCTTCGCAAATACCCAGCAAAATTGCAAACACACACACACAATCGCGTCAAAAACTAATCGAAACCAACCGGACACAAATCGTAATCGAATTTGGACAAAACGGAAAATTCGATTAAGTTTTTGTGTTTTCATTGGGTCTCGTGTAAAATATAACACGTTCACAATTTCAATAATTGAATTTTCGGTTTCGTGCCGTGTTAGTGTGGAATCGCGCGCGGTTTTTCAAAACCGCATTAAATTATATTTCGAAAAATTGTTTTGAACAGAAAAAAAAATGGTTCATATTCTTTGAGCTTCGTACGTGCAAAAGGTCATCAATGCATCAATTTTCTCGGTTGGACAGTTGGTGTGTACCTGTACGCGCGCACTCACTATTCGATTGATTCAATTAGCTCGCGATAAAACGTGCTTCGATCACACCATATTTCAATATGCGCGCACCAAAACTGGATCGTTTTGCGGTTTTTGGGAAAATAAATTAGTTTTTTTTTTCGCCACGAAAATGGACAACGGAGCAAAAAGACCAAGCGAGAGTGTGTGAGAGAAACAGAAACGGAACCAATATGAGCAAATGAGCCAAAGAGCGAGAGTGGAAACGAGAAAGCGAACGTGACGACGTAATAAAATTGATTTTTGAGTGTAAAATTAGTAAAGTCAAGTGGAAAAAAAGGCAACGAGAACCAATAACATCATACATCACCCAATGTAATCAAAATTATGATGGAAATTGAGACAGCCAATTTATTTCCACATCGATTCATCGTCGTCGTCGTCGTTTTCATCTTCTTCTTCTTCTTTACATTCACATGGACGCACCGCATTTGGCGGTGCTCTTGTCGGTGAACAAAAAAGCGTTGCTGTCGGCTCTTGCTCTTTTTGGTCAATGTCGACGAGAAATTATCAATTCTTTTCCCACATTTCCACACACCGTTTCAAATTCAGAATACAATCAATTCCACCGCCCCATAAAGATCCACACTTTACTATAGACCGATACATAACACACAAGTTAACGAATCGAGAAGAACAGGTGGCCCGCCGCAACAATAACATCGCATCGATACGCACGCAACTTCTTTCGTACCGATTTTCAATTAAAAACACACAATAGTCCATATTATGAACTTCATAAGATTCAGATTTTTTTTTAAAAACCGGAGAGATATTGGAATTTTTGATAGCTATTTTGAATATCTCAAAGGAACAACAGTGCCGTAGTATGTTCCATTGCAATGGAAAATTTAAAAATCGAAATTCACAATGAACATTGATTAAATTGGATTTGAAGGTGATTTGAGATTTCAATTAATTTTTCAATATATTTATTAAAGCATTTTTGAAATGCCATTTCATTTGATCTGATTCTCACTCAAAAAGCCGAAATTTTTTCAATTCAAAACATTTTTCTCAGTTTTTTTCGAACCAATTCTAATCAATTCACTTTGATGGTTTATTAGAAATGAATTGTCGAATTTACCGATCTGAATTTTACATTCTAAAATACTTTAGTTTGAATGTTCTGCCAAAGACAATGTTCTATTTTCTGCTTCTTAGGTAGACGGATTCTTCTTTTTCTTCTTAAGGACTATTTTTCTTTTTGAATCAACAGAATTTATTTCACATTATCGAAACAGTCGATTCCAGAGTATCGAGGTTCACCATTTTGGAATGAAGTTTTAGAGAAAACCTTTGAAATGGTCCATATTTCATTGAAATCTTTTTTTTCCATGGATTTAATGTATGAAGAAATTGATTCAGAGACGATTCGAACTAAATCAGATCAATGTTGCTCTCGAAGCCACTAAAGAATTCAATGGCAGATGGCTTCTCTTTTGTAGAGAATGTTAGGAAAAGAAAGACTTTATTCAACTTGAATGGCTCACTGAAGTCACTTGACAAACATTTTTATCTTGAAAAATTGTGCAAGAAATGGACATCGATGTTCATCAATGGGATTTTTTCCTGAAGAAAATTGAGACGCTGTGACAGTTTCAGATTCTTACACAACAACATTGAGAAAACTCAACTAAAAACTCTTACCAAGAATTTCTCATCAGAAATAAACTCAGATGAAGAATTATTTTATTCCATCGAAATCAAGTGTTTATCTCTTATCTCTTGTATTATCGTGACTTAATTGAGTTTTTATTGATATTCTCCGAAAAAGGGTGACATAGTTCCGAGTTTGCTTGAGCATAGTTAGTCAAATGAAGAAGAACCAATGAAGTCCATTAGTACAATCAGTAAAGGTTGCAATGAAAAGTCGCATATTTCAATGAATTTCGTCGTGAAAGACGAAAAGAAAGTAGATACACTTAGTATTTTTTCCATCCATAAAACAATTGTCTATCTTTTTTAGTAACAACAAAGTTCAGTCTCAAATCGCAAACTCCTCGGATATTCGAATGGTGACACCATTAACTGTAGTTACTAGTTACAGTTAGAAATGTTCCGATTCCAAGACTCAAAACCACACTTCACGCAATTAAAAGCACACATTCTTTTGGGTTCGTAAAAGAAGAAAGAAAAATCTGACCATTAAAAAGTCATCGAGAAAAAGTAACAAAAAAATTATGAAATAGGAATGACATTCTTAAAATAAGAACGAAGAAATTCATAGAAAAAAATGAGCATTTCCTCAATGCGACGTTGTATTCCGAATCTTTAAAGCGTAACTCCAAGTTCTTTTTTTCGCTACTATGCTGACCTCCGCAAAAAAATGTGTAATATAAATATTTCACGCATTGTAAAATTCCAATCAAACGGTATGTTTTCTTCGTGCCATTTGGCTCAAGTGGATGTAAAATGCACGCATCGACAGCGGCGGCGACATCAAAAAATAAAAATGGCAAACCGTAATCGCCGGTGAGCATAAATGAAACCATGCAGAAAATGAAGCGATTGGGAATGCTTTTTCTTGGTCGATGTGAATGGCGAATTGAGAATGTGCTTCTCATATCGGAATAAAGTGATTTGGAATGGAATATGTTTCCAATTGGCCAAAATGAGTATGTTTTCAATGGTCAATCGCTTAATGCCAACTGTCATAATTGGGCGCTTAAATGAGCGCGCGATATTCAAAAATTGGCTCGAAATCGGTGAGCGAGAGAATGCAATTGAAAGCAGGCAAATTAGTAATAAAAGCGTTGTGATTCCATTCAGAAAAATGGATCACATCGATATGTGCTGTGTTGAGGCCAAACAACAATATTGTACCTGATTGAATATTCGGTGAATGAGATGCATTGTGAACAGTACATATGAAAGGAGTTTCCAACACACACACACACTTACAAAACCAATCCAATTAACTATGCGCTGTGCGCATAATAACAACACCACCAACAAAAGAACGCTACATTTTTGCCTGACGAATTTCATTCATTTAATCTGACTAATGAAAGCATATGTGTGAACGGAGAAAATGAAGATAAAAAACATCGACAAAAAGTCAAACGCGCTTAATAGCGAAGTTCAAAAGACACACAGACAACAGACACACTCGTTTTTCTTTTCTGAAAAAAAAAATTGAACAAAGAGATTCAAAAATACAGTTGAACGATGAAATTTGTTGGTGTGTACGTGTATGAAATGGTTGAAATCGTGGAAATTTCGGCAACAACCATGAGAACTCGTCATTTCGTGTACAGAGAAAGAAATTTACTGTCGGCGATGAAGTGAAAGAGTGTGAAATGCCCGACAAAAAGCAGCCAACACAACTGAATATTAAATATGTGTGAAGTTGAAGAATAAAACGGCTGTTTCGTGATTTATATGATCGATTTGTGGCCCGAAGAGCCAATCGAAGATACACTTTTTTTTTGTTGCACGGTGTCAATAGCAGAATTTGTTGATGATGATGATGAAATCCGCACGCCACACGATTCAATATGGCTTCTGATTCAAACTCGGGCTAAAGGTCGAATTGTGCGCCAGTTGCCGGTCGAAATTTGAGTTCCACATGAATGTGATGGCAATCAATAGTGGCCATAGCCATTACATTCCGGTTTAGAAAATTAAATTAAATAAAAACCCAAATTGCCATCTCGCTAGCAGATCGACCGAGAGAATGGGTAAATGATGTAGAGAGAACGAATGAGCTGGTATAGAGAATGCTAAAGCGGGAAAAAGAACAGAACCAACGGAGAAATGTAATCAAGTCTAAATGTGCGGTTTGACCATTCTTTGCACACACATTCGCATACAATCAAAGCCACATGAACAAATTACAAATAATTGCAACCAATTCAAGCAGCCAGTCTCTATTCGATTCGATTCGGTTGCGGTGGTGGCGGCAGCGATGAAGACGACCAAGACGACGGTGAGCACTACATTGTTGCTCTGAGTTGACTGGCGAAAAAGAGCGAGAAAGAGATGGAAAAAACGAATATGATTCGGTCATAAGATTGTTTTTATCGTACATTTTCTTTTGTTTGATGGTCAACGCTAAAGTATTCCTTCAATTATAGCCATTTCTTCGTTTTTACCATCATCATTACACCGAATGGTCACCGTGTACAATTGTTCTCGATCTCTCTCTCTCTCTCTCTACATACTTGCTTACTCAATCA